TTGCTTTTGAGGTGTGTTTCTAGGTTATTGTCCATCTGTACTGTAAAGTGTTTTCTGAACCTGAATTTGAGCAAAACATAAACTTCCAAACTGACTGTGATACTTCCTATGGCAGACACAGCATAAATAAACTCCTGTGAGCCAGTTCCATTGGAAAGGATATCACATCATCACACTGCCCATACAAGTTTGATGGTGTGATATACTTTAGATCGTCTTAGTATTCGGTAGTATAGAATTTAATCTTGATTCAATGTTGTTGCATGACTAATCTGAAAGCTTATGTAATCTTGTCTTTCTGTTCTTGAGTATTGTTTGTGTTTTGAGGTAAAGTGACTGTAGTTATATTTATAAGGAAATCTCTCAACTTCTGACTTTAGTTGCCTTCCATGGGCTTCCTGGCCTAGTGTTCCTGATTAGGCCTTGAGTTAAGTTTATGCTGCAGACAGCTGTGTTTGTTTGTTTGTTTATTGGTTTGTTTTTTTTGTTTTTGTTTTTGTTTTTGTTTTTGTTTTTGTTTTTTGTTTGTTTTGCCCGATATTGGTCTTTAATTCTTGCCTTAACACATTTTGGAAACTCATGTTTCACACTTTGCATCAACTCAGGTCCTTTCATCACCTTAATGTTTCATGAATTAAGAAGAAAACTTGTCACAGTTGACTATCATTGTCATACACTGGGTTATGTTAGTGTTTACATTGAGCCGTGGTGTATTGCGGCTTTACGCCATCTGATATGCTTTTGCGGCAGGGTGGCCTAGTGGCAGTTTTTTTGTTATAACTGATGCCGAGCACATGTTCAATAAAGCAGCGTTATAAGGAGAGCTAGCGAGTGGCCATTCTACAATCATACTTCGTAACTGTCAGTTTTCCAATTACTCATCTGCAACACAGCTGCCAGTAGAGCAGTAGTCCATGTATTGTGATGTGCTACACAGTCAAAATTATAATAATTGTGTCACTGTCACCTTGGACATGATTATTGTCAGAGATTTACAGTTAACAAACAGTCAGGTGAATAAACAACAATGAGACACTTGTGTAGGTTAACGTGCTGCACGGGTGAAAAGCTCAGAGCAAATCACACCGAACTGCAGTATTCGTTTATTTTTATAGGTTACATCGTCAATATGCAAATATAATCACATTTCCTGTCACGCAGGTCCTGATGTCTGTCTGCATGCAAGCTGTGTGTGTGTGTGCGTCACAGAGTATGTGTGTTGCAGGTCAATTTCTAAGAATAATATAATGCAAGTCAACTTCTGCGGATATGTATTTCTGTGCTAGTCTCTTGTCAGTGTCACAGGGTCAGCTTCCTGTTTCAACAGAAAACTGTCTGGTGAAATATGTATAACATAACTTTTGAAGCATAAGCAAATAAAACAATAAAAACTCCCTAACAATTATATATGGCAACACCACATCACACATCCTGTACTATCCTAAATAGTCCTTCATCAATTGCTGACCTTTTTAGAGACTAATGGAATCAGTGAGAAATTCTGGGTTTAAACCACGCCACAGTACCGATACAGCGCTATTAAGAGTTTTTAATGAACTGCTTTTAACTGCTGATTCAGGGCGCTCAGTGGTCCTAGTTTTATTAGACTTAACGTCGGCTTTCGAAACGGTTGATCACAATATTCTCCTGGCAAGGCTAGAACACGTAGCTGGACTTAAAGGTAATGTCCTTTCATGGTTTAAATCATACTTATCTGAGAGGTCTTTCTCCGTCACAATGAGGAAATACTCTTCCTCTTCTGCCCCTTTCCGTTGCGGTGTCCCCCAGGGCTCGGTGCTAAGTCCTACATTATGTTCCTTGTACATGCTGCCCTTGAGACTCATTTTCAGAAAGCATAATATCTCGTTTCACTGCTATGCTGACGACATCCAAATCTACTCCCCCCAGAATCAGGATGTCCAGTCCTCATTAGTGCCTTTGTTCAACTATCTGCGGGAAGTTAAAGCTTGGCTATTACAAAACTCTCTAACTCTAAATGATAATTAAAACGAAAATTATTGTTTTTGACAGTCCCATTCCCCTGGACCAGCTAACTAATACACTGGGGTCTTATGCCAGCCATCTCTCTTATACTGTTAGAAATCTTGGCGTGGTCCTGGGCAGCTCACTCAAGTTAGACAAACAAGTTGCCTCAGTTGTGAAAATGAGTTTTTACCAGCTACGTCAAATCTCCAAAGCAAAGCCCTATATTCCACATAAAGACCTTGAAAAGCTTATCCATGCCTTCATTACTTTGAGACTAGACTATTGCAATTCTCTGTACACGGGCCTCCAATTCTCTCTCCTCCAACGTTTGCAATTAGTTCAAAATGCCGCAGCACGCCTCTTAACTGGCACCAGAAGGCATGATCCCATCACCCCACTTCTAGCCAATCTACACTGGCTCCCTGTTAAATACCATATTAAAATCCTTTTGTATACTTTCAAATTTTTAAATAACCTGGCACACAGTTACCTAACAGGCCTTCTCAACGTGTAGAGCCCCAAGAGAGCGCTCAGATTCTCTAACCAACTGCTCTTAGTGCAACAAAGGCCCCGACGAAAGACTAGAGGGGACCGAGCTTTTGCAATTGCTGCACCCAAACTCTGGAATAATCTTCCTATCGATGTCCGCATGTCAGATTCCATTCAATTGGAATCTAGACTTTGAAGCAAATTAGTTTGGACATCCACCTGGTCTGCAGATGTGCTATGTAACTGTAACTATAACTGTTTTTAAATGTTTTTAACTGTTCTTGTTGCCTTTGTTGTAATCTGCTTTGCTACCTTGTGTGAAGAACTTTGATGGACACTGTCCTTTTTAAATGTGCTATAGCAATCAAAGATTGATTGATTGATACTGAGAGTCAAATTCCTCCGTGTAAACTACGCTGAGAAGAAAGACAAGTATCTGTTTTGTTTTGTTGTTGCTGTTTGTTTTTTATGGACACATTTGGGCTGTGTGTTACTGATCAAGCACTTAGCGCGTACAGAGCAGTAAAGAAAAGGTGAAACCAGCTTTACACTAAGTTCAGACACTTTATTCAGAGATGCAGTTTTACATTTATATTACTATAACTATGCCAAATTTTTATGACATGTGGCTGAACTGCTTTTTTTGGCGCATGCTCTGCCACATACAAACACAGACACACACCTTTATTAGATTTCTGGAACCTGTTGGCACTTCACTGAAACAGGCTCAAGTGACTAACAAATGACTCGTTGACTAATGGAGCAAATCAGTGACCTCAATCAGAGCAGAAAAGTGGTGACGCGTTTTGAGATTTGTCACCTTCTTTAACCCAGACCAAGCCTTCTTTTACTATTATGCCTTACACAGAGGTACAATAACAAACATTCTTCCTCAATGTACTGAAAGGTTTCTCAGCTTCTGCATAGTTTGGACTGTCAACATTTGGTTATGCTGTGTCAGCTATTACATGTCTTTTATTTTACGAGGTTCCATTTTTTATATGCCATGTTTTACATATCAAAAAATGATTTGAAAAAAATAATCAGGTCCTTTCCAAGTATTAACATTAGCTCAGTGCAACTCCAGATGTACAACAACACATGACCTATTACACTATGCAGTTATTATTTAACAAAAAATAAGCCAAAATGCAGAAGCAGTGTGTAAAAAACTAACTTCACTTGCAGCTAGATACTGTCAAAGGAGGTAACACCTCAAATCTGATGAAACACCTGGCGACGCATAGCGTTTTTTTAAAAGCCGAGAAATGCGTCTATTTGATAGTTTGCTGCAAGACCTCACACCGTGCACATCTACTGCGGGTGGGTTGCCTGTTATCGGACCCGGAGTTAGCAACATCCCCCAAAAACACGTCCTGGCCCCTAGCCCTGCCAGTGTAGCAGAAATGATGAGGATGATGATGCAGCAGCAGCCGTTCTTCTCTGCGTGAGTAGCTTAATGTTGTTCGTGTGTAATTTACGTTGAGTAGGCTAACCACGTTATTACATTAATGCATGTAAGGTGAACTAGCAAACACCATCATAGCTACATGCGGGTGTCTTCTTGTTTGATGGCAGATACTCCCTTCACCCTGGCCAAAAAGGCTAAAATGACCAAAGAAAAAGTGGAAAACAGCTGAACATGAGAGGTTTTTGGACAGTTTGTGTTTTTTCCATTGTTTAAGCACTGCTTCCAGCCAGGTGGTTCTCATCACAAGCACTACAAAAGCAAACGTTTTGGCAGTTTGCTGGTCTGAAGCATTCAGCTGTGTGTTACCACAATGCCAAGCAGGAAAGACACCAGTGATGATCTTAGAGAACAAATCCCTCAGTGCTCATTAATCTGGAAAGGGTCATTTCCAAACATTTTTTTGGAAATTGTTTTCATTTTAAGTCTTTCATTTTACAGAAAAAAAAATTATCCCAAAGTCAGACAAAGTGAAACTGAATGTCAAAAAAATCCATGAGCGACATGTTAAAGTTTAGAATGTTACACTAAGACTGATCAAAAATAACTTGTTTGAAAAGGCTGCCAGCAGAAAGCCTCTTTTTGGCACAGCCTAGGTTTGCAAAGTTACATCAGATGTCTGACCACATAGCACAGAAAAACATGGGGTGGGCATGATTTGGGCACCTTGCAGTCTTTTAGTCCACCATGATCTCTGCTATATAACAAAGTATTCTAGAGTCAAAAAAGGTTGTCAAACAGTGACAAGCAAAGCTTAGCCAAAACACAAAAAAACCAAAATGTAGCAATGACAAAGTCCAAAACTCAGCCTCACTGAAATATGTTAATAAATTGCTGCAAAAGGTGGTTGTGCAAGCTACTGAATAATGGGGTGTACTTCCATATTGTGTTTTGTCCTAATGACAGTGTTTAATATGCTGTGCATTCTTCACCTGAGGATGTATTTACCACATTTTCCAGTGTATATGCGTCACAGTAAATTACTGCTTTACTCTAGGTTTGAATGACTCCAACCGACTCACTAACAACATGCCAATAACACACAATCCACATGGTATATGGTGATGGAAGTTTGACATTTCTTTTATTTGACAATACATGACACCGTAAAAGACTGGCACATGATCAAAGTACAACAAAAACCATGGCAGAATTTGCTCTTCTTCACTGCAAATAATCAGGGGAAGGGCACACTGCAGAACACAAACTGAATGGTTTATCACAAACATCAAGGCAACTCGGATTACACTGCTAGGAAAACGATAAGGCACCTTCTTTGACACCTGATCACCCATACTGATGAGCAACGTTTTCAAGCTATATCATACAGTGATGTTTCCAAACACGCATGTGGACAACGGTAATACTTTTCTTTTGTACATTGTGCTTGCGAATGTTTTTCCGAGACTGGGTCTGTGTACTTATTAGACCCAAGCATGAGTTGGTGACACAGCGTTTAATTATGACAACAACACCAAAAAAATGAAAATACTACATGTTGTCTCAAGATCCAGTGCACAGCAGTTGAGGCCACAGCAAATGCCAAAGAATCTCTCACTACTGTAGTGTTGTGCATCTTCCAGTTTTACATACATCTCCATGGTTTCACAGTAACCAAACAAAAACATTGGAAAGAAAAAAGCCCTTCATTTCACCACACAAATGTAAGCATGGATCCTAACAGCCAGATCTAGAGCAGATAGGTAGTTCTTCATACACTTAATGACAAGCTTGGCAATGTCTGAAATATGCTGGAAATTTACAGCCACCTAGTGGTTGCATGAGAAACTGTATCACAAGGTGTCTGTAGATGTGCATTTGCACAATTTGCCTCGTCATTATAAAGTCATGTTGTTGTTTTTTAAATAAAATGTATTGTTTGGCTATAAGTCAAAAGATGGGACTTTGAAAGTTTTCTCAGAATTACTATGGACACTTAGCCATATTACTGTTCTTTAACATAATGATCAATGAACATTGAGGGGATTATCCAGTCTTTAAGTGATGGTGTGATGAATCCTGCTTCTGGGCCCAAACTACTCTGCGTTTAATAAGGCTTTTGTGCTTTTTACATGTTTTAATGCTTTGTATCTTGTTCTATTTAATCTCAACAAGCTTATCTCAGTTGTTCTCCTGACTGAAGTTCAGTCCGTTTACAGCATCCTGCCAAAAGATTGCATTTGTCCCTAACCTTCGGGAACCCTCACGTTAACTTTTATTGAGTGGAAAAAAGTTGATTTATTCTCTCTAGCTTTACGTTATGCTAACATAGCTGTGTCGCTAGCGATCAAGTAGCACATCATTATATACCAGCTAGCCAAACGTCAGTAACCCTACAAACGTCACTGCTGTTTAGTTCTGTCTTCATTTATGTTGAAAGTGATAGCAGAGCTGTACGTCTTAATTTGTTTCTGAAATCCCTCACTCAGAACATGCTATATTATATTTAGATGGAAGCTAGTGAGCTAACTTCCTGCTAACTTCTAACTGTTAAATTTCATAAATTCTGTTTTCATGGATGCCTGGATGTTAAACTTATTTGTTACACCTGGTAAAGCAGCAACACTGATTATTTTATTAAAGATGAAAGAATTTAGACAGTTTTAACTCTCACTGATGCCGCAGTGATCTTGTGACTTTGAGACCTGCAGTGGAGTTTGGGCCCAGGCATGGCTAATGACTCAGACTCAAGCTTAAAGACCGGATAGCTAATGCAGAAGGAGATATTTAGCAAGCCAGAAGTGGACAAGTCCAGTTCTTCATTCACCGCAGCTCATAAAGATGTAACAACTCAGACATGTTCCAGTCATTCACTTGGTCCTTTGATTCACTTTCAACAACTAAAGTTCTACTGACAGACTTTTAACTAGTTTCACTATCAACGTTTCAAGTATGACTGTCCTGTACTGTATAACAACCCTGAGGTAGTCTCATTATGGTTCCACTACACCTACCCCCGTGGTGGCTGTAGTTCTTCATAAAGCACAAATTAGTTCAGAGTATCGCTTTAGCAGGAAGAGGAAGCTTTCTGTCTGTTCAGAGAAACTGGAGATGTAGAAAGTGATTTGTCTTGTGCCTTGCACCAGGAAAAATCTTAACTTTGTCAATAATTTTTTTGTTTTGTACGAGCACTGTACTATTAAAATACCTCACACATCAGACGTGTGTTTTGATTCCCAGTGTAACTTAAAACGTTAGAATATTAAAAAACAAACAAGCAAATGAGTGAACAACTATGATGAGTTGAGACATCTGAGCTACACCGCATCAGATTTCTAGCTGGCATTTACTCCATTTGTAGTAAGCATATCCCGAAACTACATTAGGGACAGGATGTGCTGTAAGTAGTGTTCTCTCAGCTACCGATAAGCAAAGTACTCTGATCTATACTTGCTACTAACAGGGATGCATTTGAAGGGGATTTAAACATTCACAGGACTGAACATACAAAGGCAATGTCATGTGACTTTTGCATTAATGACACTCATTACCCCATTCCCAAACCCTACCCAAGCTAAAGTCCAAAACCCTTTCAGCATTAGTCACTTCAACAGATCACTTCATTGCATCCAAAATTAATAACCAAATAAAATACTACACTCCAATAAAATTACAGAAAAACTAGTCTAATAAATTATGGTGATTAAAAAATAATAATTTCTTAGAAATGATCTCAGTGCTATACTGTACTTAATCCCCACAGTGCAGAGCTGAAGGGTCCCTGGGGTGGTGTCTTGGGGCCCACCCTCCCCCTGGCTGGGTCCCCCCAGCAGCTGCAGGGTGACATTGGCAGGTCCCGGTGCCGAGGATGTCTGCCTTTGGCAGTCACAATCCTTCGGTTGGCCCCCTTTCCTTCATTCAGCTTGTCCTCTGTGGTTCAATGTGCAATGTGGGCCACACTCCACATAGAAACTGTACAATGTTAAGATACAGCCACAGGTCACCAGTGAGATAACAAATATTCAAACAAACACGTGACACTACATAACATACACAATATCCTGCAGACAAAGAGTTGGGTGTACCTTTACTTTTGGCCTGTACTTGAGGTAGGTTGATCTGATCTGCAAGCTAAAAAACAAGAACAATTGATTTGAATCCATGTGGACAATAAACCGCACTGCAGCTGTAATCTCCTGTGACTGAAGCTTACCTGAAAAGTATGTGTAGGTAAGACCCCAGACCTGTAAATATGTGCCACCACGCATGGAACTGTGTTACCACTCCAACACCAGGGGGCAGTGTTTGTCTACTGGCTCTGGGATTCAAAAGTAAGTGTTTACCCAACAACTCGAGACATTAACAAAGTGAAACATTTTTATCAACTACAACAAAAAATGATAATAAATTGACCCAAAGATCGTGATTTAACACCTGCATGGACATTTAAACCTAAACATGCATTTTTTTTTTTTAGAGAAACAGTGTCGGTCGGTTTGATTTCAGTAACATCGGAGTTACAGTTTATGACTTTGAAGTGAACACTTTTACCATTGCAACTGTTAAGTGGAGAATAATTAACTTGGTTCTCAGAATTTCACAATTAACCTTAACTTCCACTACTCACCTTAAAGAGTCACAGAAGATATTGTCGATGTTCCAAAGAAGGAAACCCAACAAAAAGATAGCTAAAGAGGTGTAGAACAGTGGCTTGTGCCATGGGTACACCCTGAAAGAAAATCAAACAACAACAACAAAAAACACCCTTCAGCATGTTGTTGCCTTACTGAATATTAATGAATAACACGTCTTTTGATATGTTAATGTTTCTTATTTAATGGACCTTGTGGCAAACTTACCATGTAACAATGAAGATAGAACGCAATACTAGGCAAGCTACTAGAGCACCATACATGACCTGGAAACAAGGGAGGTGTTTGGATTTGAAACAGAGTTGGATCATGCATGATATGGATACAGATACAATCTTTCAGTAATTATACATTTCCACTGAGTCAGCAGAGTTCAACTGACAGGAAATTCCTCCGATGGAAACAGCCCAAGCTTGTGCACAACAAATAATAACACAGCTTATTAGCATATGATGTTGGTCAAGTAAAATCTCCTTTCATCTAACATTTTTGTTTTCTGGTGTTTCATGCACATTGTAGCCAACTGCTAACCTTTTGTGATATAAATCATTTGAGCTTTCTAATCAGAATTGTCAGCAGTTTTATTTCTGCTCAGGAAGTGGCATATCTGAGAAGTTCCTTATAATCGAAAAAGAACATGCAGCCAGAAAGATTTCTAATACTAAATCTAGCCAAGCCCAATAATCAAATTCAAGTTCTGTTTCATGTTGGCTTTAGCTGAGCTGTGAAAAGCATGGACACATTTATTAAAAGGTCTAACGCTGCACTAGCTTTGTGCAGGGATCGACCCTCCGCTCTAACTCTGAACAACAGTTGCTCACCAGAAGGCAGAAAAAGCCTGTCGGAAACAGAAGTCTGTAAATGTGTCACACACCCAATCATAAAAAGGTAATTTTAGCATTTTTCATTAATTTAACTGAAAAACAAATGGGAACAACTTCTGTGTTTCCAACAGTCTGCTAGTAACACAGTGCCTAAAGATACAATTTAAAACAGGTTCTTTAGGTGTCAGGTGTCTTTTTATACTTGAATGGTCATAGGTCATTCTTTGTTAAGCTGATAAAGAAACATTTCCCTGAAAATGGTCAGGGACAACAAGTCGGTGACAAAGTTAAATATTTGAAAGACCTTCACAAAGCCTGGAGAACAATTACTGAAGAACAGTTCAAAAAGTTATACGTCTGGTTCCTTGAAAGCAAAATATAAAGAAATTAAGGGTGGCTCAAGACTTTTAGACAGAACTGTAACTAACAGGTAATTGAGGCCCATAATTCAGGACTCACTAATCCCTGTTAGACTGTGTTGTGTTTGACCTGTAGCATTATTGACGTGGCTCTTTTTTAACAACAGATAAAAAGAAACAATATTGTAGCAAATTAGAATATAACTAAAGAAAGGAACCAGTATATACAGCTAGGTCCATAAGTATTTGGACAATTCTAATTCTATTTTTTCTAGTTGGAGGTTATACAGAGCTCTGTTTACCCTCCACAGTGGAATTTAAAAGCAAAACAGCCTAATGTGATTCAAGTGCAAACATTTAACTTTAACTCTAAGGCTCAAAAATATATTGACAGCTGGCTAGCAAGCTGTATCAGGTAAAGATATAAGAATTTAGTTGATTTAAAGTGTTCAAGTGTTTTCACTGGAATGGTTAATATGAGGTCAAAAGAAATGCTGATGCAAGTGAAAGAGGCCAGCATCAGGCTGGAAATACTAAATAAACCAGACAGATAGGAAAAGCTCATGGTCCACAGCATACTACATCATCTGTTACATTTGGTGGAGGCTGTGTATGGCTGCCAGTGGAACTGGGCCAGTAGCAGGCCTGGGTTAATTACCATTTATTATTATTACTATTACTAGCAATAGCAGTAGTTGTAGTAATAGTATATCACTGTCAAATTTTTGAGTAAGATTTAAAAATAAAGCAAACATTCTTCAGCTGAGCAGCACACAACTGTTAACTAAACTGACATCATGTTTCTGTGCATGTTTATGGATGTGTTGGCTCACCATGCTAGAACAGAGGGAGTGTTATCACAACCACTACAGACCAGTGTGATTAGTAAACAAATACAGCTCCAAGGACTAAACAAAGGCCACTTTGTCACATTGTCCTTATTGCTGTAACACAGCACATTACCTGAGACTATAACAGGTACAGACAAACACTAACAGCAGCCCTACATAATTGGCTATGCTTATCTTTAATGGTTTTTAGGGTTAGGCGTATTAGATTTATCTCCTTCCTGGCAACAAGTGTTTGACGTGTTTAATGCCACAGTTAAATGTTTGGTTCTGTTTCAGGGCTCTGGATCATTTTTCTTAATGGTACACTTGAAATTCCTCTGCTTTGGTGTGAAATGCTGCCATACATTTAAAACCCACAATGCACCAAGCTGAGTTTGCATGCCGCATTGGCAAGCTCAGTGTTTACACAAGCCAAAGTAGACCTAAGGCACCCTAATTGCAAACAATGAGCAACATGAGTCAGGTGAACATAATGCAAAACACTCCCTTACCTGGTGAAACACTGGCTCCTTCCACTGCAAATATACCTACATAAGTAACAGTCAACAGGGACAAGACGATCATTAATGTTTTCTTCCTGAGTTCAGTTTCAGAGTAAACTGGTAATGAAAACATGTATACTCACCACAGTGACTGAGACACTGAAGATAAATAATATTGCAATAGGAAATAAACTGACACCCTTCTCCTGCTTGAAACACTCATATCTGAAAAACAAATTAATATTTATCTTTTATATTGAGCTTGATAAGAAGAGAACCAAAGGGCAAAGGGCAAATATAAGCTGAGCTAAAATGAAAGTGAAATCTAGAAACAAATCTTCAAAAACAGGCTGTTTTTTTTAAGGCATCAAGTTATCAGTAAAGGATTCACTGGTTCATTTTACAGTGATACTGGATTTGTTCTCAGGTGAGTGCTGCAACAATTGATCCAAAAAGATGAAGGCACTTACATACAGTAGACAAAAACGCAGGTACTGTAAATCATAGGCAACTCATCCAGTAACTGCAAAAGACGAGACAGAAAAGAAAAGAAACGCGCATTACTACATCACTGTACAAGCAAGCATTTGGTCAAGTAGCAAATGCTCATGAGTTCAGTTTATGCCCGCTTTTGCTGACATGTTCAGATTTACAGCCCACCTGCATCTCATACAGCAGCGTCATGTGGAAGCACCAGGAACCAACACCAACAGCTTGGGTGTGGGGGAAGAGTACACACAAGACACAAAAATTCAAAGTTAGGACATTCGGCCGGAGGCGTTTGCTGTAAATACTGAGCCACTGCTCTCAATAGCTGTCACAAGCACGTTCTCGCAACAATCCCAGCATTAATGCAGAGCCAGTGCACCAACCTGCCAGTCCGAGAAAAGAGCAGATGTAGCGGGACTCGAGGCCGTCACGGAATGTCTGGATGGCCCCGTAAATGGGAGGGAGAATCATGATCAGGTTGCTGACAGTGTTCCCTGTCAGCAAAGACAGCATAGATAAATGAAAGTCGGGTGACATGACCTTTAAGATAACTGCACATCTCTGAAAAGCTCAGAGAAAACGTGACATGGCCGCAACGAGTGTTATGCATGGTATCGCATTACCACGGTTGCAGCATAAAATTCAAAGGGTGCAGAGCTATAAAATCTCTATTATACGATATAGAAGCAATAGCACTAGGATTTGTTTATTTAAACTGTACAAATATGCAAATAGTTTGAATTTAGACTGATCTGGGTTTTTGCTTCTTAGCTAGTCAAAACTGAAACTACCTGACCCCTTTACTGACAAATTAATATGACACCTATACACTTAATCCTGAAATCACATTTTTCACACAGCATGTTACAATCTTGTGTTTTAGATCCTAATTTTATAGGCTGTGTTTTCCCCACTATGTTTTACAGTGTGGCACAGACAGATGAGGGCGACCTGTAGTAGGGTTGTAGTGGTCAGTTCTGATTCAAATGATTCAACCAATTACACCGAGCAAAACTACGCTTGATATACAAATGTGTCCTCTGACTGAACCGGTGTCACTGTTCAGGCAGAGAATCTCCCTCCCCCCATAGGTCATTAACGTGTGCATGGAGCACTGCTTGCACATCATCTAGTCCACCGGGAACCTGACAAAACAGAGCTCAACTCTGAACACAACCTTGCACTTTGTGGGTGTGGCTATGTATGCACTGAGGCGTGGAAAACAATCAGACTTACCAGGACATTGCATTGTTTGAAAACTAACTTACTAGAATCTCCAGAAACCAGCATGCCTTTATCTGCAGATTCCTGATTAAAGCCACCAAAATATGCAGATTTTGGTTACTGATAAAAATTACCCATACCAGAAGTGCAGTCTACTATAAAGGACACACGAAACTATAGCAGAAAACCTGCAGCTAGGCAGATGTGTGTCAGACAGAGGAAGACAGATGACAAAGGAGTCCAAACTGCAACGCTTAAGTTCACTTTGAGCCAACTTTGGATCAACTGTTGCAGCATACAGTAACTCTGAACACCGCTGACAACAGCAAGTGAACCTTTTCCCTTCAAAGGAGAAGTACTGTAACAGTTACAATGTATTACAATGAACTTGCTGGACACATGCATTTTGCACTGTGTCACACATGACGACAGTCATTTGTATCACTTTATGTTACAAACTGTCCATGAACTATTAATAGGCTGGGTAAACATTTTTGTTTGCTGCACAGGAATGGGTCATTCTTCTGTTCGCTTTTGTTTGTCTAGAGTAAATTATTTCGAAGAGTTTTACTGTCTCCTTAATGAAGGTTCAAGCCTTTGTCCTGTCATTTCTGCTGATACAACAGCTTTTTGATAAGACTGATGGAAACAGCGGTTTAATCTAAGATTACGGTTCCAGGGGAACAGGTTTTTTATCGGTGGACAAGGCAGAGAGGCGCCCTGATAATGTGAAGGGAATGTTTTATCAAGTTTCCAGTGGTGTCCGTGACTGACTAACGTACTGTCTTACAGGAAGAACACGTTCAACAGCGGACTTGTAACACAAATGGCTGGCAACGTGAAATAATATGAAGTGAGCCGTTTGTGCTGAGCTGCTTTGCATACAGGTTTAAAGGTTGTTCGATACGTGTAGCGAGTGCTGGCTAGCGTTACGATGCACAGAACAGGTTGACAATATATCCGCTGTAAACAGCGTATCTTTTTCCTCAGCTCCGGTAGCCGTACAGATTAACGTTTACACTACACGGAGAAAATCGTGTTATTAGCCGAGATAACACAATAATAGATATGCACTAAATTACAGTTACACCAGTTCTTCCTATGTTTACCTTAGAGGGGCGAAGTACTACGACTCTCCCAGTCTAAAGCCTCATTAAACGAACCCCCAAATTCACCGTTTTTAGAGTAAATGATGGTGCGGGCAGATTTTTACTTACAGAATTCCGCGATGTAAAAGGACACGACATAATTTTCCTCACACCAGTCCAGTGTTGAGGTCGGCCGCCCCCAGTATCCTTGCCTGTCTATCGAGGGAGCCATGATGAAAGAGGAGGAGGCTGTAGGCGCTAACGGATTTGTAGTCCCATCATAGTGCACGAGCGCTCCGCGAGCCCTCCTCCACGCGCGATGGAGAGGGCGATAGCGAGAGCCAGTTGAGCTGCTGCTAAAAAAACCCACACGAAAATACACACTACAAATACACAAAAGTGAAAGCACACCCTGAAGGTATTAAAAACGAAGGTTTCATGTAACGTATAAGTGCACATTTCGTGTATATTTTATATATTTTATTTGTAAATATGTAAACATCATAGTACTTTTTAAACTTGTAACCTAAAAAATATTGCAATGGCAAAATGCTATTGCTGGTTCACTCCATAAATATACACAATCCCACCATTCTACTACCAAAAAAAGGTTAGGGTTGGCATTGGCTGTTCTCTTCCCGTACACATTAAAGTGTGGACTATGTTAAGTCATAGCAACAATAAACAGTATCAAGACGTTATTACTACGTCAGCAACAATTAGACAGAAATGTGTCACACAGCTCAAGCAAAGAGGAACCACTGAACGATACAGTCTGAACAAATCAGTAACACAATGTAAACAGTGTGTACAGTGACGATAAAACAATAGGCGGGGCGGGGACTGATACTTCCACTGTTATATAAATCTCTACATAGCTGTGTGTTTCTATATGAAAGGCAGAGCAATTAACCACCCATTCACCATTGACTTTAAGTAAGCTACAGTGCAATCCATGTTAAAGAACTGTGTTCACTATATTAAAAATGGCATGCACACACTGCAACAGAAAGGAAACGCATGTCTTTTGTCTAATTGTTATTTTTCCTTGTGCATGTGTCATAAATACAGATGGCCTTTAGGTGGTGTGTTGAGCTGTGCTGTGCTGTTGACAATGACAGTGTTTATCTTTAGTATTGATTCTTGCATGCTTTCTTAGGCCCTACTTACTTACCTAACCGATTTTCTAGCCAATCAAATGATGGATCATCCATTAATTTTATGTTTTGGAGCAGTTGTTATTAGGAAATTGCTGATGTGACGATAACCATGTCCTGGAGCAGCAGCCACGTGTTTAGGTCACAAAGTAAAGGGCAGCATCCTAAAATAAGGATAAAACCTGCTAGTTCTTTTTTTTATACTTTTATTGCAAAAACCGGACATTTAAAACAGCTCAATCATATTTTGCTTTGCTAAACCATGTGCGCACAAATCGAACTGCATTCAGGGTGACTCCAAACAAAGACAAGTGGACACAAAAAGGTAAGGAAGCTTGTAGGATGTGCACATTTTACATAATTTTTTAAGACTTAATGACACCAGAAACCTTTTTCGTGCACAAATTCTGATGTTACTGCTACTTTATTAAAACAAAGTGTGCTTTAACAAAAACTTTAATATGTCATACTTAATGTAAGTATTCAGTCCATAATGTGACATGCCAACATACAAACAAACACACACACTGAAATATTAACAACTGTCCCAAATTCAAAGATGTGCACATCGCCTCATACAGTAATTACAAGACAAATGTTTAAGTTGTGTATTATGGAATGTTGTTGCCATGTGACATAAAAGAGTGCTCTTACACAGTATCAGATGTACTCTTCATTTCTCAACATGCTGCAGTATAAAATCTACACTCATGATAACAGCCAAACATCTAACTTACACACATGGTTACAGTTCATCTCTCATCTTTTCACCCTTTGGTCGGACCATCCTGCCAATGAACAAGATGGAGCTTGTTTTCTGGTCCTTTACTAGGAAAATAAAGGGGTGGTCAGCGTAGAACAGTTTAGGGTTTTTCAGCTTGTCTGTGCCAAAGATACTGGTATCAATTTCATTTCCATCAGTGTCCCATTCCAAAGCAGAGGCGTGGAACACACTTGACAAGTAGAGGTCCTTCTTCCCAGAGATGTTGGAAAAGTCAGCTTTAGATTTGTCCACAGCCTCGGTCAGGCCCAGCTCCTGGAGGTGTTTCTGAGGAGTAACATGAAATGTTTATAGTGACAATGTAAAAGAGTGTTCTGTGGTAAGGCACAAACTCTTAAATTGTTTACCTGCAGATCATGACTGACTTCCATGCTGACTTTGGGCAGAGACACAGCTATAGCTGTCTCCTGTAGCAAACCAATCCATTTATCCACCTGCTTCTTGGTCAGCATCTTTTCCAGTCTATCCAAAGGTTCCACATGGTAGGGCATGATGAATACCACAGTGGACTTCTTATGAGATAGAGGCATGCTCAGGATAGATAACTTATTGTCTTTGTCATCATAGAAGCCAAAGAGACCTGATGAAACAAATTAATTACAAATATCATCAATCTGTCCATGCACTTTAGAGAGTCTCTTATAATTTCTGCTGGTTACAGTTTTCAAAAAAAGAAAGTGTTACATTTATTACTCATATTTAGTTTTGCATAATGTTGGATACTGAACCGGTAAATGCACAGCTGTTAACCACAGTTTTTACAAACTCCCTAGATAGTATATACTGGAAATTGTTTCTGTATAAATGGGAAGAAATAATCTTACTGTGCCCGGCATTTGTAACTACTCAAACCATTTACTAGTGAGTTGAAAATTCAGCGAGTTATGATCTTTTTTTTTTTTAATTGTGAATCAAGTTCCTACCTACAGATACAGTATGATAATAATATTTCCCCAGACATTATTGCAGTTATTTGGACTCATCTCTCTAGTAAACAATAGTGAGAAATATCAGATTTACTCATAAATATCTATGTTTAATTAACATGTGTAGTGATCTTAAAGTTGTAGTAGTATCAGTAATAGTAGTACCTATAAATACTTTCACATTTTTCGAAAAAGACTGATTTTATAGGTCACTGCACTTATGTTTTAGCTGAATTTGGCATAAAGACTAAACAGAAAGCTAGCTTAGCTATGCTAGGTAAAAATCCTTCTACCGGAAGTTTTGTGGCAGAGACTTGATGTCTCTATTCAAGGCAATGAGTCCCTAGTCACTCCCTCATTCACTAGTGAAACATGCACATGTAAAGAGTGGAGTTATATTGTTTGTGGGTTTGCGGGTGCTACTTTTTCAAGCCCTGTGATCCTCTGGAGCAGTAACTTTTCGATTTTCCCAAAATGTTCTACCATTCCTAGTCTCAAACTGTGTTTCTGAACAAGCTGATAGGAATGTCTCCAGCTACCTGTGCGATGCATCATCTGTACTGAAACAGTGTAGCTACGTGACACCATGAATCCACGGTTATCCACCATCTTATGATGGAACTGCTCATCCCAGTGACCTGAGAGAAAAAACATTCAGTTAATTTTAGGTGTCTTTTAGGGAACAGTATAGAATACTACATGTATACACAGCCTTATCCACTCACATTTGAAAAACATGGCACTGATGATCATCGCCCCATCAGTCTTTTCTACATTCTTGGTCACCTCAGGCAGTTTGCCATCAGTAGACTTGGCTGCCCATTCGTTGATGGAGTTCACAGCACTCTTCTTGTCTCGGAAATTGATCTTTGAGTGCTCACAATTATAGTGCTTTTTGCTGCTTTTGACAAAGTCTTCCACAAAAGTGACAGAGCTGGGTCCATACAGGCGGTTGCTAATCTTCCAGGTGATGTTGCGAGTCTTTGGGTCGCTCAACTCTATGAGCAGCTCAGCCAAACTGGGGTGGAGATGCTCATCTTTAACTTTAGCTACATTCAGGATGGTTTTTACCTGAGAGGCAGTGGAGGCCTTTCCCCCAAGAGCCACAAGACCCAGAGAGGAGGCCACGACGACAGGGGAAATGATAATGTTCTCTACATTTTTGTCTTTTACCATGCTCTGGTAGACACTGAAAGCCAAATTGGCAGTGCTGTCAGCCAAGATGGTGGCATGGTTACTCAACACTTTGTCTTTTGATGTGGAGGTTGCTGCCGAGGCTGCAGTTGTCAGAAGGACGAGAGATACGAGGTTTGTCGCCCACATGGTGTAATGTTACTAAAAGACAAAACCTAAGAGAAGACATGAAGACAAACAGTACATACTTAGGGTTTACTCTTGAGATTTAGAAGATGCAAGCTGTGGTAGGCTAGTAAGTGTGGTTTAGCCCATGCCATTTAAAGCAGCTCTCTCTGTGCAAACCTCAAGCAATGACTTGTATAACAGCCACGTAGGCAGCTTCAGGGTGCACTGTGTCTAAGCCAAAACATTGGTCAGCAAGATCTGAGTTGTTCATGACTTGGGAGTGGGAAAAAACTTAACATACATAACATTCTCTAATGGAGGACTAAGTCTGGTTGATGCTCATTGGTTACTTGTGGTGAGGGAAAAGTGGCCACTCACTGACGCATGACACACCCCTACAGCTAAAGATGCGTTTTTTAGAGCAGTTCATGTACATAGAGCGAACGTGTACTTTAGGGAGGACAGGCTTTATGCATATCACCACTTAGAGATGTAGTTCAGAGATGTTTACATCAGTCTAATTGAGCAGGTCACAAGCAGTTCATTTTTCTGGACATGTGACTTAGTATGAATGACACTGGCATTTAAAACATGTAGATAAAAGAAGGAGAGGCGTCCCTTGTTACAGATTAAATCAGGTCAAAAGGTGTAGCCAACTCCCTGAAAGTCTGGACTGTCATGCAGTTCTAGTTATGTGCAGCAGTTGCTTTGCTTTCGCACTACTTGGAGGAACTACATGGCTGTAAAGGAATCTTTAACCATGTTAAAGATAGACAGACTTTTTGGCCTCTTTTCACATGCCTGGACATTTCCCACCAGTTGATGGACGCCCTCTACTCTCTCCCTCCCTCTCCATGCTTCCCGTGCTCCGAGCACATTCATCTTACCTTATTGGGTCCTTTGAATAACTCAGCAGGTTTATCGTCAAGCTGCTTACAAAAAGATCCCCCCAGCACTGACCTGACCGGTATTAAGTGAAAGTATCTGATGGCAAAGACAGAAGTGTATGAGACGATTTCCCAGGCCCCAGAGCATGAAAATCTCTGCCCTGGAATCAGATTTCCAGGCCAGTCCCGCCCATGTGGATGAGTGGGTGAAGAATCCTCACC